AGCAGAGGGAGCCTGACCATGCGTCACACGTTTGACGAGTTGGGAGTGAGAACGTGTTGGTCTGTCAGTAATATGCAAAATATAAACTGTATAAATGCATCGCTGCTACGTGCTCCTTCACTCAGTTCATGATAGTAAGCGGAGTCACGCGTGAAGCAAAAGTGCTGATGTTTTGGTTTTTTTTAAATGGAAAATCCCCGCATCCTGTAAACGACAGATTCTCATTGTTCAAACTGTCGAACTTTAGCGTGGGTCGTATGCTGGGTGTCATTAAAACATACACATACAGCAGTAAAACAGCTACTGTAGGCTTTAAAAATAAAAATACAAGTCAAAATATTTCATACATGAGACAGAGGCTGGATAACATGTATCTATAAGTGTCATCGTCGTCGATGCTGGAGGAGGGGCAACAGCGGAAGATCCGCTGTAGGCTGCTGCTACCGGTCTGAGCAGGTTGGTACTCCTCTGCAACCTGGTGAAAACGGTCTCTCAGAGGACGTTCTAGTCTTGGATCACAGCTTCTGTTTTTTGTTTTTTTAAACTGAACGGATTTGTTCTTTTGTTGTTTTCCTTCTTCGGAGTTTCTTATCTGGTTGCGGAGGCGCCTGACCGGGCTACCTGGAGATGGTGTGGCATGCGGGCGCTGGTGTGATCTGGCTCCAAGACGAGCCTGTTGACAAGGGGAAAGTTCAGCTCCGCCTCGGGACAGCGGGAGATAAACTCGACAGTGTTGTGAGAACGGAGCGGAGAACTTACACCTGAAGCCCAAAAACAATGAACAGGTGAGTTTTTATTTCTTTATTCGGCGCAATGGCACCAACGCCAAATCCCCGAAAATCCCACGTTGACTTCCTGGCATTTGTATCTGCTCCAACTTCTTATAACAGCCTTCATCCTTTACCATCACACATGCTCTACACGTGTCTGTGGATGACCTTGGTGAAGCTGTGGGCTCTATTCCGTGCTTCCTCTTTTAGTGGACGGACGTCGATTTGAAGAAGCAGCGGCTTCATTTTGTGAGGGAGGGTTAACGTGTTGCGCTTTTCATGTGGCTGCTGTGAACTGCATGGTTTTTCTCTCCACTTTAAACTGTAAGCCGTGTTTGTGGGAGATGTGCTGTATCAGCTCAGCTGCTTCTTCTCGCGGTAATGAAGCTGAATTACAGTCAGCTTGTGCGCGTAAAGTGAACTTCTTGACTCTGGGAACACAGTTTCAGATATAATAGCGACCTTTCCTTATATTCATGTGACCATCTCATGCTGGTATCTCATAGTTTATATCGTGTAGTGTCAGTCAACATTTTATCCGTTGGGTAAAAACTGCAGCCCTGGCTTTAAGAGCCGATCAGCAGCAGCAGAGGGCGTCAGTGATCAGCTTTGGTTTCAAGTCAGTTGAGCTTCGCTGTTTCTTTTAGCATTTGTACGCGCAGCCTGCCCACAGCTGAGAAAAAAGGAAGTACTGAAGTTACACTGTGTGCGGGGCTCTACGTGTATTCACTTGGTGGAGCGATAAACTAACAAACAGTGCATGCAGTTTTAAGTCTCGGAGCTGTAATGTGCAGCTGTCACTGTAGAAGAGCAACGAGCAGCAAATGATAAGCATGTGAGAGCGTTATGATCAGAGTACTGCTACACAAACAAACAGCATCACCTGATGTATAGCAGATTTACACTCAGCGTCCTGTATGTTAGGATCACCAAGCTCACACTGAGTCAGTCTAACTCAGAGGTCCTGCAGCTCATTTAATCCTCACTGATAAGGGTTCAGCAGGATCGCTGCTTATTATAACTGCTGCGGTCATTTTAAAAGCCAGCGAGGATTACTCGCACCAGGGTCTGTGTCCTGATTTTAAATTATTTTGAACTTCGACCTTTAGATCCTCTGCCTGTCCCCACCCTGACAAAGAGGGTGGGGACAGGCAGATGTTGAAACAGATGCTACCAAAATTGGCCTGTATGCTTGTGTTGTAGTCACAGACTATATTAAATTTAGTTACAGAGTGAGGTAAAGAAGGAAAATAAAAACAACGACATAAGCTGCCCGGTTATTTTGTACTTTTTTTGCTGGGGGGTCTTTGTGAGGGATTTCCTTCCTCCTCTCGCCCGTCCTCACTGAGTCACGTGACATTAGGAAAACAACAACTGGAGGAAGGAAGTCCCTGCAGAGATGCATATCCTTACAGAGTTTACAGAGCAAAGTAAACCACTGATCCTGTCACATTAGTATAGATTCGCTACCAGTACTGGGGTTGTATGTGCCATCTATATTTGGATCGATCCGCCCACTACTACCAAACAGCAGGCCGACCGTTGGGCGACCTGCAGAAATGTTGTCGGTTGTAGTTTTCTTCTCCCTCCCGATGTTGGTGGCTTCTGCGTTGAAAGGTGAGTGTCTTGCGTTTTGAGGTAACATGAAGTGACAGGCTGCCAAAAGAAATGACTCATCCATCAAGGATGTAAACAGTGAAACTACGCACTGCAGCATTTTCACGCTTCCGGGAGTGCAAACAGCTGCTGCAGCTCGCCTGATACCGTAGATGGAAGAAAATGTGAGCGAGTTCAGAAAGAATGTGGCAACAAAAAGAATGGATGTGATACTAACATGGTGCCAGGCAGTGGCGGTCCTGTTTGGCTATTTCTTAAACAACATCTAAGCCAAAAAGACAAACTAGTGGTGTGTGACACTGCAAATCTTGATGAACACAGTGACAGTATTGCAAATTTACTAAAGTGTTTCTATATTTTAGTTTTCCAAACTACTCCACTCTGTATTAGATGTAATTCGTGCTCGATATCGTTTATTTTAAAATGTCCATTTAAAATTGTGCAGTTTTTAAAAATAAATCTAATGTATGTCATTATACTTTAAGCTACCAAGCAGTATGCAAGTGAGTACATTTTCTCCAGCTGCAGGAATGAACTCATTATTAACAACACGGTGTACATTTACATGTACATTTCTCCTGCTTTGCAGTAAAAGCCTCTGTTTAACGTCAGAGTTTAATTACTGACAAACACACTTGCAGCAGGTTGTGAAGAGGATTCCTCTCTGGTCTTGAGGTTTGTCAGTGCAGATTCACTGCTGGGGTTTGTTGCAACACTCATAACTGAAGAACAGTTCAGAGTAAAATGCACGTTCGTTTATAGAGACATGAGTATCATGTCGGAGAGCTGCAGGTATCCATTACTTTGAGTAATCCACTGATGTGTTTTAGACTTCCTCTGCTCAGTACTTCCTCGCTGTCCACAGATTTCCAACACGTGCAGTATAACATGCTATTAATGTTTGGGTTTTTTCTCCTCTTTGTTTTTCATTCATACAGAGGTTTGTGTGAGGCCTGGACAAGCTGCCACTCTTCAGTGTTGGGGTCCCAGAGATGCACACATCACCCTGCTGGAGTGGAGCAGACCGGAGCTCGTCTCACAGGGTTATGTGTTCTTCTTCCAAGACCAGCGCTCGTACGAGAACTACCAGCACGAGTCCTTCAAAGGCCGAGTGCAGCTGAGAGACTCATCCATGAAAGACGGAGATGTTACTGTGATTCTGAGAAACGTCAGCATCAGCGATACAGGAACATACGATTGTCAGATTACAACCAGCAGCACCAGAAATGGCGAGAGAGTCGTCAAAGAGTTCCAGCACTCCATCAACCTCACAGTCACAGAGTCTGGTGAGTCTGCAGAGGCTCAGCTTACTGCTGAAGCTCTGCAGCCTGTTTACAGTTTATGAAAGAGTGCTATGGATATCTGAAGTGTGCCATTTCATTCCAGCTCAGATGAGTCTCTGGAGGCAGTTTTATCAATCCTTGTTTGGTGAAGGAGATTTTTGTTTTTGTGTAACTGGAAACTTAAAAACACTGCAGAAGATTTTAAATGTTTTCCCTTTGGTTTGAGGCATGAGTCTTTATACAGAAAATAAATATGATTAATTAAATAAGACATTCACTCAGACTTTAGTTTGGCTCATAAAATCTTCATTACATGTTTTTACAGAAGCACTCTGCTTGTTTTCTATCTGATGTGTTAATATTTTGATCAAATGAGAAGCTTCCTGTTTTGGTGGGTGTTGACTTCCTCGCAGTTATATTTATTGGTCGTTTTTTATTTTTTTGCATGCTGTGGTTTGTGAGTTGTCTTTGCATGTTTATTTTCATGCTGACAAACAGCTGTATCGATGTAGCATGACAGCAATATCAGGAAGAAGGAACACGAGAAGCTGGAGAAATACCAAGGGCTCAGAGAAGAGCTCGGTGAAGGTAACGGTGGTCCCCGTGGTAATCGGAGCACTAGGTGCGGTGACTCCCAAGCTAGGCGAGTGGCTCCAGCAGATCCCGGGAACAACATCGGAGATCTCTGTCCAGAAGAGCGCAGTCCTGGGAACAGCTAAGATACTGCGCAGAACCCTCAAGCTCCCAGGCCTCTGGTAGAGGACCCGAGCTTGAAGGATAAACCGCCCGCAGGGGCGTGCTGGGTGTTTTTATTTTATAAAAAATAGAGATATTTATGAAAATGGTATATATCTGTGAGTATCAGTGATTTCAGTTCAGCTGATCTCACACTAATGGTCATTAAACTCTGGATTGTTTTCACTGCAGTTGCTGTTTTTAGATCTCAGCAAACATCCTGTTGTGTCTACAGGAAGTCGTTCCTCTATGATGGTGCACGATCTTCTCTAGTGAGTAGACAAAGTGACATCTGTCAAACAGAGTTGGTACAGATTGTGCAGGGATTTCTCTAAAACATGTGTTGATCCTAATTTTTGATAGTTGAGTATATAAGAAAATAACCTTGTTTAGAATCGTCCAACAATTTTGCGCCTCGTTGTTTCACAGAGTGGCGTTATCAACATGTGGCTATGACAAAAGTATTTGTCACTGTGGAGGTGGATTTGAGATTTATGTGAAACTTTATTATAATTCTGGCATAAGTACAAAAAGCCTCAGCTGGCCATCCCATCACTCCTGTCGCCTTGTTTTTCTTCCTGAGCTCCTTGGTTTGCATCTCTAGTGGGAGTAAGAGGAAAGTGTTCAGGGGCAGAAATCTGTATTTGTAGCTCTTCGTGGTGATCAATGCTGCAGAAATGAATGATTGCACTTTGTTTTTGACCGCTCTGTTTCCTCTTTCAGTTCAGATAAACATCACAGCTGGACAGAACGTCATTCTGCCATGTCGAGCTCCAAACATCGACAGCAATTCCAAGGCAGTTGTAGAGTGGAGCAGAGCTGACCTTGGAAAAGATTATGTTCTTTTGTATCGGGATGAGCAGCCTGATCCAGGAGAGCAGCATCCATCTTTTAAGAACCGGGTGGACCTGCAGGACAGAGAGATGAAGGATGGAGATGTGTCTTTGATTCTGAACGATGTCACGACTGCTGATAGAGGAACATACGAGTGTCGTGTCTTCAGGAGAAGAACAAACCGCAGGAAGAGAGCTCATCTGGAGACTGACCCTATCAGCATCATCACCCTGAGTGTTGTTGATCCTCCAGGTGAGTGAGTAGAGTTGAGTGTGTGTGTGATCAGAGGTGAAGCTGCTTCCTGGTTGTTGATGTTTGTTTCTAAAGATGTTGTTGATGAGACTTTGTAGAAAGCAGCTGGTCTGAGTGATGTGATCAGAGTGCAGTAGATAATGTCTGACAGCAGTTTGAAGAGGAAATGGATTCTGTTCTGTTCTTCACTCATCACCTACCTGACAGCTGACACCTCACACCTGTTTCTCACCTGCAGGTCAGACAGGAGGAGACACAGAGGATGGAGTCAGTAGAGGACATCCTGGACTGGTAGCTGCTTTGTCACTTTTTGCTGTGATTGCTTCTTTGGCGATCTTTATAAAACTAAAACCTCCTCCTAAAACCCTTACAGACGATATTTAGTCTGTTAACATTTTTTACTGTATTTTTCCACTATATTTTATACATATTTAGTTTTTTTTTACTGTACTGCTGAGTGACTGTCTTCCTTTCGTCAAATTATTTAATTGCAATGTAGACCCTGTGCTTACTTGCATATGACAAATAAAACTGAAACTAAACTGAGAATGGTCTGTGGCATTTCATCAGACTTGGGGGCTTCGGTGCTGGTTTTTGTCGCCATTTTCCCCTTTACCAGGTTTCAAAATAGATTTTTGTGAAAGACACTCTCATGACTCATTGAGTGACGCTGTTGACCAGCAAATATGAGATATGCAGTCTGACAATGTCACACGAACCCTGAGCAGGTATTATTTTAGTATCTGATACCAGGTAGTATTACCTAAAGGAAAACCCCGGTGAACAATTGCAAGTTGATTATAGTAGGTAACAGTAACAATAAATTACCAAAGTAATAAAATTAACAACACTAACAACATTTATAACAAAAATAGTAGCAATAATATCCCTGAAAAGGATAAGCGGCAGCGAATGGATGGATAGTAGCAATAATAACAACATTGACAATAACAGTAATAGCATGGTAATAACAATAACACCCAAAATCCACTGTTAATATCTGACACTGCAGCTGTTTTCAAAGATGAGCTCTTCAGGCACAAACATGCAGGCTGAAGTCTGTTGACTCTGCTTTAGGTAAGAAAACAGTTTTTGAATCTCAAATGTTTCACAGGTGTATTCAGTGACTGTATTATATTTATTCAATCAATCAATCAATCAAAATTTATTTATATAGCACATTTTAAAGACCGAAGTACACCAAAGTGCTTTCCAGTAAAATCATGATACAGATAAAAAATCACAATATAAAATATAAGTTACAGATATAAATAAAATATAAAATAATTACATAATCTAAATGCAAAGCCAGATGTAAATTACCCTAATTAGCCTTGAATGCCAGGTTAAACAAATACGTTTTTAGATGTGATTTAAAAGACTGAATGGAATCTGATGCGCAAATATGAAGAGGAAGAGTATTCCATAACCTGGGTGCGGCAAGGGCAAAGGCGCGGTCTCCTCTGGTCTTCAGCCGAGACCTAGGTTGCACTAAGAGCAACCTAGGTGTGATTTATATTTAAGGCACTTTATTTTAGAAAAAATACTTTGCACTTCATCCTGAGCTCTACATTCAAACTGGTTCAGTACAGCTGTACAACTGTAAACACACAGTATATGATTAAATAAATAATGTATAATATTGCGAGGAGTGCAGTGATGTAGCAGCCAGCTGGATGTCACTACACAGACTGGTTACACTGCGTTGAAGGCGTGTGGGTCAACTTCAGTGCGGAGTAGATGACCGCTGGCTCTGGTGGAAGATCTGAACACAAACACACCGATTAGAGAAAGTTTAGATGTCAGGAGGTAAACATGAGAAAAACGTGCACCCGCTCTGTTTATTACAGAGGGATATCCACAGAGTCACGTGAGCAGGAGGAGTTTAACACTGCAGGTGAAAGAATAAAAATAACACTGTCTTATACACTGTATAAGACAGTGAATTTCCTGAATTTCAGGTTTTCTGCAATTACTATATATATAAATATTTATTGTAGCTGTAATCAGATCTTTCGAGTCTGAATGACAGAGTTGTTGCACTGATAGACCAGTTCTGATGCTGGTCTATAAAGCTCTGAATGGTTTAGGACCAAAATACATCAGTGACCTCCTGACCCAGTATGAACCTTTCAGATCCCTCAGGTCATCTGGATCCGGTCTTTTATCAGTTCCCAGAGTCAGAACCAGACACGGAGAAGCTGCATTCAGCTTTTATGCTCCTTATATCTGGAACAAACTCCCAGAAAGCCTCAGATCAGCTGAAACACTCAGTTTATTTAAATCCAGGTTGAAGACTCACCTGTTCTCAGCTGCATTTGAATAAAGCACCAAATCCACACTTTTAAGCTTAAATTTCAAAACTAACATTTTAACTACTGATTTTATCTACTGTTCTGATTTTATCTGTTTGATTTTATATACTGTTTTCCTTGTTTGTTTGTTTGTTTGTTTACCTCTGCTAACTTACAAAAGGATTCCTTGTATTTCCACCTCTTTTCTGACTAATTTCATCATAAATTTTCATAGACCTTCTGCTCATTATTTAAATTTTATGGTCCACAATTTGTAAAATTGTAAAAATACCATTTTTAAAAGGCATTAAAAGCATATGTATATTGGAATTTTTTTCAGCATTCAGTCTAGCAGTCAGTTTGCAGACTGCCTGATTCCTCCTTACCTGTAGAAGATGTGGTATTAGGATTAGGTTGGATTTGGAGGTGAGGGGCAGTGTCTTGTATTGGACAAGACAAGACTTACATGAAATAAGCTACTAATCCTTTTTTCATAACTCTTAATTGTTTTGCTGTTTGTTTTTTTGTTTTTTTAATGTTAGAAAAATTTTACATTGACAACATTGGGTTGTTGTGTTTTTCATGCATCTTAGCATATTTTAAACTTAACCTAAATTTTCAGAGTCCTCGAAAATGAAAAAAAAAAAGAAAGAAAATGCATATGTTTGCCAAATGTGTTTCCTCAATAATGATTAAAGTACAATTGAAGCACCAAAGTTGCTCTATTAAGGTTACATTTGCACAAAAGTTGAATAAGAAAAGCATTTTCTTCATTTCGTAACTAAGATTTTTGTGTTAAAAAGTATTCCATGTGATTTATTTTGAAATACTGTAAAATTACATATTATACAGAAATTTTCACTATTTGTCTTTTGCACGATAAAGTTTTTATAATTAGTGCATGCTCAAATATGCCATTTTGCAGCACTGCTTGAATGTTTTTTTTTTCATGATTTAACCAGCCAGTAGGAAGTATCTTTGTATATTTGAATTTATATTTATATTTATATACAGTATATTTGAAGTATCTAACTCAACAGATCCTGATTCACTTTTATAGTAAGAAAGGCCAGCTAAAGGGTTATATATTTAATAGTACATGAAATTTTCATGTTCAACATTGCCTCAGACTTCAAAATACGAAAAGAAAATCATATATTCACACCAATTTATATTTAAAGAACATTTTTTCATACTATATTTACATCACATGGTTTCTATCTCACACACCCTGATTTCTCTCCAGAAGTTGTGTGTTTAATCTCTTCACATCATATCCTTCTAAAATAGTTTTCTCTTCCTTTGTATTAGACCAGTCTGACATGTGGAGCTGATAACCACCTTCATCTCGCCAGGTTAATCCCTCCACAGTGCAGAGGAACTAATGGTGCTTTTCACTGTGTTTGCTGCTGCAGGCTGAGATCTGAGCTTTTTAAAATTTTGATTTAGGTTTGGAATTTTTCTATACATAAGGGAGATTTTGAAGTCAACATCGAAGAGCTGTACCTCTCTGTCTGCTGTTTGTCCTGATGGTGATTTCCCCATAGGTGATGTCACCTGTTCTGTGCACTGATGAATAAACTGCAGGTGGATTACTGACTGCAAAACAAGACAAAGTCATGTAACAGACACATAACCTTTTATTTTAGGATGAAATAAATCTATATTAAAATTTAAATCTCTGACTTACAGTTGAAAAGTACAGAGACATATCCAAGCTTTAAACTGAAGGAACTTTAACAACTCTATACTTAGTTCTTAAAACAGGAAGCTTAATGGCCACAGAGTTGCTCATGTGTCAAAACAATGTAACACTTTGACACACTGCATCTTGTAAAGGAAACAAACTTGCAAACCTTTGAAACTAATTTAAAATAAAATTACGAGCAATAAATTTGTATCTGACAGCCTGACGCTCAGAGTGAAGTCTCTCTTTCAACTTCTTTAACACAGGGTGGACACAGCTGCGCATGGGCTTCAGTGTTTTCCAGCTTTCTGCACTAATTGTATTTCTTTATAAATATTCTGATTTCCTTTGGGTCCCTCTGCTCTGTGCTTTGTACTGCCTGTGCCGCTTAATTTAATAAGGAAGTCCTGAGGTTCTTTCTGCCTGTTGAAAGGTCACCTCTAAATGCAAATAAGTTTTTTTTAATAATATGAAGTTTTATCTTTTGAAAAACTCCCTGAACAAACTTTGATTTGTGTGTTGAGCATGTGCAATGGACTGAAATCTTTTAAAGCAATTTTTAATCCAACTAAATCTCCACCTTTTAGTCAAGTGTGTTGTTCTTATAACAAACAATGATCTCACTTAATTGTGCTACCATGAAATAAACAAACACAGACAAAGAACTGAATGAAATGATGATTAAAAAAAATTAGAGGCTGACCTGCAAGAATCACCAAAATCTGAACCAAATGTTATCACAATGCATCTAACACATGATTATCTAACAGGAAAGTTGATCTGTACCTCTCATCATCTTTGATCCATGTTGGCCTTCTGCTGTTGTTTTTCTCACTGATGAGTGAGTGACAGCTGCTGCAGGATCTCTCTCTGCAAAATCAAATGCAAAGATTTTCTAATATTAATAATGTTTTAAATCATTAGACAAGTAAAAACTGGGATGAATTTGAAATATTTTTTCCATCTTTTTGTGATAGAAAATAAAAATAAATAAAATTTAATAAAATAATAATACTGACACTAGACTGTAACAGATCTGCTACTTCTTCCGCACAATGACTTGTAGTTCACACAGGATTTGGTCATAAACTGAAGCTTTGAAAGTACTGAAAATATTGACCTGAGCAAACACCAATGTCTAAAAAATGTTTGGAGTTTTTAATAACATATTTATTAAAAACTCCAAACATTAACTTCTTAGATTGAATAAATAATAGGTTTATTGAAACCTCAGAGGAAGATTAAAGTTTTGAGCGTTTACCTTGTAGGAAACTTGTACCTCTTGTCCTGTTTGACCCATTACGGTCACCTGCTGATACTTTTCTCCCTGATAAGTAGGTGTCACCTGCTGCAAGATCTCTCTCTGAAAAGCAAATGGAAACAATAGAACTGTTGCTGATGTTGTTTCATCATTTGGAATGTTAATATTTATAAGGCGGTTAATTATATTTAAAAATGGAAAGTAAAAGAAAGATTTAATTAAGTATAAAGCTGCATGAAGCCAAAAAAAAGTAGAACTATTTCTATCTTTCGGAGTTCTGTGGTGAAACAACAAGTAAAGGTTTGTTTTGTTCTTTCAGAAAACAGGAAACTGGACGGCAAAAGAGCTTTGCTCACATTGACACTGACCACAAAATCTCACACACAGCATCTCAATTCAGACACAGGAAAAAACTAACTGAACTAACTTAAGTATGTGATGCACAAACTCTCTGTGGCTCAAATTTGTCCTCAAAAAGACAAAAGTGTGAAAACTGCACATGCTGTGCATCATGTAAAAAATTTTGACAGGAACAGTTCACCCCATAATCACACCTACATGTGTTTGGTCTGCAGTGCTGTTTGAGTTGCTCACTGTTGGGATTATGAGCTGTAGAGACGACGCTCAATGTGTCAAAACTCAACAGAGAAAAATTGAGTTTTAGGTGATCTGTCTTTCAAAACTAGTATAATATTTAAGCATTAAGCATTATATTTGAGCAGAATGTGACTCTTACCTTCAGGTTTTCTCTTGACACATCGTCTCACCAATACAACCAGTAAAACCAGCAGCAGCAGCACTCCAATTATGGAGGGAAGAAAGACCAGCACAGAGAGAGGAACAGAGGAGTGCTGAGGAGTAGAGGAAAATGAGGAGGAGAGGGAGGCAGTGGAGGCTGATGGAGGAGGAGAGGTGGGAGAGCCTGCATCTACTAAGAAATACAAATCGTTGTGGTCACTTTGAGTATCTTTGAGTCTAAAATGTGTAAAATAAACAAAAGCCTCACCTGTGACAGTGATCCAGCTGGATGGAGACTCTCCATGATCACTGATGTCACACTTGTAGAGGCCTTCATCAGACCTGGAAACATGCTGGATGGTCATGTGACCTGTAGGCTGCTTCCTGATGAGGGAGCCATCTTTATAGAAAGCAGCTGGGAGGTTGGAGGGAGTGGTCTTTGTTTTACAGAGCAGAGTGACGTCATCTCCCTCCATCACAGGGAGGACAGGACTCTGCAGGATCACTGATCCACCTCAACACAGAGACAAACTACAGCATTTCATCCATTTACACACAGCTTCATCAACACTAACTCCACACACTCAGCTTACCAGCGACTGTCAGGTTAACCATGTTACTGATGGGACCCTCTCTGGACTCACACCAGTAAACTCCACTGTCGCGTGGGAGGATGCCACTGATGTTACAGGAAGAACCAGCTGGTTTTCCCCACTCCTCACATTCAGCTCTGGCTTCTTTGCTTGTGTTTCTCCTCAGAGTCCATCCAGCAGAGCTGTCGTCCTCCTCACAGCTCAGAGACACAAAACCTCTTATAAAGAACTGAGAGCTGCTGGGACTCACAGTCAGACGAGCTGTGAGAGAAATTATTACAACAAAGCAAAACATGAGGAATAACTTTGTCACAAAGAAAACATACATTTGTTGAAAACCAAGAGAATCTTTGTTGGTGTATTTAAGGTGCAGGCAGAAGATGATCCAGGAGTGTAACTCGTGCACAGGTATCATAAAATAAAGCTTTAGAGATGCTGGTAGGTAGATTTTGTTATGTTGCAGCTCCTCAGTTCGTCTTCAGTCTGAAAAGTGCAAATTTAGTTTTTCCCTCTTTTTCTTTTTTTGACTAAAATTTGCATGATGTGTCTCTGCTTATCTAGGACCACATATGGACCTAAAGGCCCAGCTGTAACTTAAACATCTGCTGGCTGATGCTGATTGTGTATGTATTACAGCACCAAGAAAGCCTTGTTAAACAGTGCAGATGCTGGTTACCACCCACTCCTAAATCCTCTTATTTTAACATTATATCACTTTATATTTAACAACCCCTTCTACTGATGTTAAAAGAATAAACTGATATTTAGAGACCATGGTACTAATGCCTTCACTTTTTTTTTTTAAAATCCGTCATTATTGAATCAGGACTTTTTTTTAAAACAATCATCACAATTTTATAGGCTCGTTTAATTTCTCACAGACATATATAAAACCTAAGCTTTCCCCATTGTTGTGCTTGGTACTTGGGACTCAGTTACACTCGTAGGCCTGTTTTATGGTCTTTTATATGTCATTTTAAAAAACGTTCCCTCACCGTGGTTTGTTGCCCAGCATAGCAGCGACATCAGGACTGAAAGCAAAGCCCAAGAGATAAAGAGTCAATAGATTTTCATGTGTTTTTGGTTTAAAAGCTAAATATCCACTACTCAACCTGTGGGGCAGTGACCTAAAGTGTCAGACTGATAAACAGGATGTGCTCTGTAGGGGGGAGGTGAGGATGCAGTTTAACACCACCATAGTTTACCTGCACCATCGACCACTAAATATGAGTTTTTAACTAATTTAGTCACCTGAAACTGTGAAGCTGTTAAAATTTCACCTTAAACACAAAAAACCCAGCTGGATTAAAGCACCTGCAGCATCCACCTGTACTTCCTTTTATACTGTGTAACTACATTTACTGTTACAGCATTTTTTCCTTTAGTTATTAGCACAGCTTTAAAGTCTTAAGTAAAAAAATTACCTGTGGCTCCAACCCACTGCCACTCTCAACCAGAATACCTTAAATATACATATTACATACTGAGATTTTAAAAAGAGCATGTGATACTTACAGAGCGGCCAAAGAAGAGCTGTTTGTCCCATCGTGTCACACAGATCTGAGACCTTTTTGTTCCACTGCAGCACTCGAGCCCTCCTCCTTCCTCTCAGTAGTAAAGTTTGGGGGCTCTGTGGTTTCTCTGCAGCACTTCTAGGAAAATAAAGAAAACAAAGTCTAAAATGTTAATCTGTAGGTGTATTAAAGTGACAAGTACAAAATGACAGAATGAAAATGTCAGTAAGGGTGCTTACCTGAATTTATTTCATTTTATTAATTAATTTTTTTTTCTGTATCACACACACAGAAAAAGGCTCAGAATAACTCGGGTTTTACGACACAGTAAAAGTGAGAATTAAGCAGAAAGAAGTGTACGTTGACTGTGTCCTGGGCGACGGTGGCACAAGGTTTGTTCATGTTTCCTTTAATGTAATAAGTCATGTGGAATCAGGTAAAGTAGTGTCAGAACAGTACTTTAGTTTTCCAGTGAAAGGACTTGCAGCCTCATTTGATTTATGTAGGAGCTGGGATATGAGAGCCTGTGATATGTGATACAAAGAGTAAATTTGATGTGCATGTTATAGTTTATGTGTGTGCAGGAGAATTGTGCATTACTTTAATATTTTTATTTTATGGTGGTAATGTGGAGGTAAACAGTTTCTAAACCAGAGCTCTCGATTCTCATTCCAGATTTATTCTTCATCACCACCCAAAACACACTTATATGGACACTGGGTGCAAGTAGAGCCCTCTAGTGGTCCACCACAGTAATATATATATATATATATAT